CTAATGTTTTTTTAAATTTTGATAGGGAGTCTATAGACGATTATTTGTAGAGCATTTTTCATTTAACCCCCGAATTTCACTCTGACATGCATAACAAAAAACGGTTATCTGGGATGGACACCAATTTCGACTTTCCTCGATGTAGATGAGTAATTTGAATTTTGATAGACTTTTCTTGCGTTGAAATTCTCTCTTGTGGTGTAACTCAGTATTGTTTATTCCTCACGTCTATTATTTGAATCCTAGGGGATGAGCTGATGAGATCTTGGCGAGATCGAATCTACAATCAGACCGGAGGAGAATTACATTTTATGAAATCATCTTAACTATAAATATATCGTATTCTACTTCTCCATGGGCTAACTCACTATCATTTTAATAAATGAACTAGTTTTAACTGCTACACTTAATCAACCTATTGTTATTTTTGAAACAAAGACTGTTTTAACTACACAAATAAAGTAACACATCTTGGCATAAGATTAGTGAAAACTTATTTATTAGCCTAATATTTTTAAACTATTATGTTTAACAGTAAACCTTGTGGATTAGCTTAGCGAAGAGCATAATTACCTAGGAATTACGTTCCAGGCTGGGTTTCCGAGACTCATGTATTCACTGAGAATGGAAAAAAAGTTCCAAAATGAATAAATGCATTCGAATTTTAAAAAAATCTTTTATATGAATTAAGTACTCGTTCATTGAGTGCCTTCTTCAGACATTTTCGACTTAAAGAATAATTTTTCTAGTAAATTATTTTTAATATTAGTCAAATCTATATTTATTCTTTTCTCGCAGCAAATTGGTATCCATATCCAGCTTTGTGAATCCTTGTATTCATAACTGATTTCTTTTAAAATTTATTCATTAATTTCATTGTATTTATCTAATTCCCCATTAATTTTCCATGATTATAAAAGCCTCCTTTTGGTTATTTTCCTTTAATTGTTCTCGAACAATTTAGATGTTACCTCGCCAGAGGGCTTCATTGAATGAAGCAATTGCTTTGCGTTCCAAATTCAGCGAGCACCCAGAAGTACGAAAGATCCTCAAAAGGCATCATCTTCCAAAGTCTATTCTTCAAGCAACTAAGGAGAAGAAGGAAACAAGAGCTAAAGAGCGCCGCAAGGAACGGAATCTTAGAGTTTTCACGAAGTTGGATATACCTTATGTTAAGGAGCGGGAAAAGCATACTATTGGCCAATTTAAGTAGTTTCATTCTCTACCTGCGGAAATATTGTGTAAATATGTATATGCATCATTTGAGAAATTTGTCATCATTTATAAATAAATCTTAACTCATTGAATTTTCTAAGGGTCTACATATTATTTTTAAGTTCTCCAATAAATAATCTATAACGCATTTTCATTAGATTCACGATTTAATGAGTGATTCTATCTGGTTCTTCTTAATCTTATACTGAAAATTCTGTTAATTTTTATTAAGAATAAACTTTCATGTTACGACAGTGAAGTTTATCAGCAAGTCAGGTTCTTAGTCTTTCTTTAGTTTCTGAGATATGTCACAAAGCATTCTTTACAGCATAGCTGAACTAGCTAAAACTAAGATGCAAATCACGCTAGGTCGCATAAGCTAATTTAAGGACTGATAGTTAAATTTTTTACTATAGGATAAGTTGCTAATGTATTGTTTACTTTTTTTAGCTAATCTAGCATTATTTTTACTAGTTTTTTTTGGCAAAAAATCATTGCTTGTTAGTTAACCGGAGCTTTTTCAACTCCTTTCTATTCTACGCCTCAGGCCATGACAGATACTTATGGTAAATCATTGATATAGCATTCAGTTTTCCAAACTGCTATTAAATGCATTGCTTTTCAGCGTATTAATTAAAATTTTTAAGATAGGCGAAGTTGATGCCATTCATATGAGCAAAATTAGTATTTGCTTTAATATCATATTTGCCTTTCATTTCAACGAGCAGTTTCATTGTGCAATTAAAATTTTGATTAGCTCGAACAGTTTTCTAGCTTTCAAACAAGTGTTAGGATATTTGAGTGTTTATTTTGTAGTATCACAATATTGAAGGTTTTGCACTTGTTTTTCTAACTAGCGCGCAAAATATATGGATTTTTATGTTCGCTATTGAGTTTGTAGAGTATGATTACTTAATTCTTGGTTAGTAAATTAAACTGACACTCATTTTTTATTAATAGCAATGACAGGCTTTCAATCCTTAATTCACCACGAATCGTATTGATTTTATAGTCAAACTACTCTTCTTCGATAATTAAATTTATCATGCTCTCTGTGGAGCACTATCTGAACACTCGGAGTCATTTAGGCATTAGAATAGTGTACTCTGCAGTGGCTACAGCGCCTCAAGCAAGCGTCTTTAGGTTAACTTTGAGGGGTTGCTCCTAAGCTGCATGGCCCCTAAGAAGGGCGTTAGACGTACAAGTCATATCTTTGCAACGCAAAACCGCCCGATTCATCCATCGATCGTGGGCTTAGATCTCAACGCTTAGAGAACAGGGAAGTAATGACAGATATTATCAATTAATCTTATCCTTTTAGCATTCGAACCCTTTGTATAACTATTTATCTACAGGTAACCATATTCTTTTCAGGAGAGACCAAATAAAAATAATTTCTTAGATCAGCCAACTTAGAGACTGGTACACCAATTTAGATGGCCATGTTGTTGGTTCGACCTTGTTTTCTCAAATCGGTCGGAGCATCAGGAAGACCTTTTGGAGCATACTTCGTATTGTGTCCTCTACCATAATATCCATGATTTGCATCATCGGACCATTAACTTAGTATAATCCCAGACATTTCACCAGTATTGACAGTGAGAGGCGCCATCGTTAGCACAGTTGCAACTTATCAAAGTGATAAGTAAAAACAATCGCCCTGACCAATTTTCTGTTCAGCCATTATGATATCATTCTTCACCCATATTTTTGTCCGGGCCTCTAGTACTGCATCACTTTCTCGCAGCCCACTTCATATGGTCTAGTTACCTATTCACACTATTCTGTGCTGTCATTTTCTCAAAGCTCGTCTACAAATGAGTCGCTACGAGTGGGTTTAGTGAAGCGTAATTATCTTCATCACCGGTTCCAGGTACCGTTTTCAGGGTTTCTGATTTTCATTTAGCCATTACTTCTATCCTTCTTGTTAATTAGTCGTTACAACACATCAAAATCATTGTCAGGCTTCCTAAGAGCCTTGAATTTACGTCCCCGTTTACTTATACTCGATTATTTATAGCTAAAGATGCTCCCCATCTGAGGCAAGTACTTCCGTTTCTTTATTCAGCAACAGGAAGAGTATTCGCCAAGAAGAGGATCATAAGGGAAAAAAGAAAGTAATCCGTTTATTAATAAAATTTGTTTTATCGCGTCCTAAACATTATGCAGATTTGCTCTCGCCATTTATAACCGTTTGAGCTGTTGAAAGGTACATTGAACTTTTCCGAGGTAAATTATAAATAATTTATAATGAACCCTGCCCTTGGAATTTTATGATAGCCTTTTATTTTACGGCCAGCCGCATTTAAATCCATCTTACTTTCTAAGGCCTACTTGCATTGTAGTGCCATTTATTCAATTTTCTGAAAATAACAGTCAAAAAAATGGTCTATACTTTTAGATAATTACTGGATTATTTTTTCAAACAACCTTATGGATGACATTTGTTTCAGCGATCACCACCATGCAGAGAAGTGTGGGATGCATCGTGTTCAACTTTTTACCTTATTTTTAAAAAGATGCAAGCAGAAACTTTGATAAATAATAAAAATATGCTGAAATTTAACACGAATCAAAGCCATTATCCATTAAATAACTAAGATTTCTGGTCATGTATAAGAAACCATGTCTCAGCGATCATAATAACTATTTCCGTTTGCTGAGTAAGTTACATTACACACAACAAACCTCTTTATGGGAGCCAAATCGTTTTCCTAGTTATTTCATATTTTATATGCTAGCCATATGTTCAAC